ATAAACCCTCAGCAGCAAATAAATCCTCAGCAGCAAATAAATCTTTAGCAGCAAATATATCTTCAGCAGCAAATATATCTTCAGCAGCAGATGCATTTAACTTCTATTTAAATTGTTAATAGTGAGAAAAGCCCAAAAACAAATAGGCCTCAGCCAAGGTTCAGGCTGCTGCTGCAGCTGCTGCTGCAGCAACAAAGCGTAAATTATTTTCCCCAGAACATCGAAGGATACAAAGAAGCAAAAAGGCTTCTAGAGCTGCATCACGGTGCCTGCAGCAGAAGCTGCTGATAATCAACACTGTTGCTGCTGCTGCTGCTGCTATTGCTGCTGCTGCTGCTGCTGCCGCTGCTGCTGCTTCCTTTCCCGTTTCCTCTGCGCCTGCTGCTGCTCCTGCTTCCCCTCCTCCTCCCCCTTCCCTCCTACTGCTGCTGTTGGTGCTGTTGCTGCCGCTTCTCCTGCTGCCGCTGCTGCTGCTGCTGCTGCTGCTGCTGCTAGTCATCGTCGCACCTGGTGAGAGCAGCTAGCTGGCTAGCCAGCAGCAGGGCCTTATCGCGTCTCTTTGGGGAGGAGACAGAAGGCCCTTGCTGCTTCAGCTGCAGCATTGCTGCAGCAAGAGCTTCGAAGGCCTCGATCTCTGCTGCTGCTGCTTCCTCTGCTGCTGCTGCTTCCTCTGCTGCTGCTGCTGCTTCGGCTGCTGCTGCTGCTGTGGACGGGGCTGCGTCCGGCTGAGCGGACCTGGGGCGCGAGGCAGCCGTCTGCTCCTGCTGCTGCTGCTGCTCCTCTTCCTTTGTCCTGCTGCTGCTGCTGCTGCTGCTGCTGCTGCTGCTGCTGCTTGATTGATCTGCGCTGCAGCGAGTCAGGCCCGGCCACATGTGGCACTGCAGCGCCTCCGCCACTTTGCGCAGCCGCCGCTGCTGCCGCGACACAGCAGCAGCAGCAGCAGCAGCAGCAGTGTCGGCATCGGCAGCAGCAGCAGCAGCACCATCTGCTGCTGCTGCTGCTGCTGCTGTTGCTGCAAAGCACAGTTCTATGCCCTCCATGTAGACGTCCCCCAGAAAGGGCCAGACTTCTGTCTCCCTGCTGTCTCCGCAGCAGCAAAGTCTGCTGCTGCTGCTGCTGCAGCAGCAGCTGCTGCTGTGGGGTTTGCAGTGAAGGGAAAGGATAAACTTCAGAGGGACTCCGCTCACCCACCAATCCTCCGCTGCTTCTATTTGCTGCAGTTGCTGCTGCTGCTGCTGCTGCTGCAGCTGCTGCTGTCGCTGCTGCTGCTGCTGCTGCTGCTGCTGCTGCGGTTGCTGTTGCTGCTGCTGCTGATTGCCTAAAGGATTTGTCCTCATGAACTCGGGGGGCTGTAGGTGTGTCTCCGCATTTGTTTCCCTTGCTGCTGCTGCTGCTGCTGCTGCTGCTGCTGCTTTGTCTTTTTTGATTCTCTTGTATTCGTCAGCAGCACAAATAAATACAACAGCCTCGAGCAGAGTCTCACTTATGTTATTTGCTGCGCTGTTGCTGCTGCTGCTGCTGCTGCTGTCAGCAACTTGCTGCAGGCCCTCAGCTCCGCCATGGCCTCGCTGCTGCTGCTGCTGCTGCTGCTGCTGCAGCACAGCTCTAATTTGTGAAGTGTAATACTTGGTCTTTATGCAGCAACGCCAGCGCGGGTTGCTGCTGCTGCTGCTGTTGCTGCTGCTGCTGCTGTTGCTGCTGTCGCCTTCCGGGTGCACGGTCCCGAGCTGCTGCAGCAGCTGCTGCGCCACCTGCTGCAGCAGCAGGGGCCCCCCCATGTCCGCAGCCTCAGCAGCAGCAGCAGGAGTCACAACGAACAGCAGCAGCGGCAAACGGGCGGCCCCTAAATGTCCACCAGGGGGGCCCCCAGAGGGTACAGCAAGGGGGCCCCCCGTGGGGCCCCCGGGGGGGGGCCCCCCAAAAGGTACCGCTGGGGGGCCACCCATGGGCACAACTAGGGGGCCCCCAGGGGCCCCTTCTAATTCTGTATTCATTGAAGTATTGAAAAGATTGAAAGGGAAACAGCAGCAGCAAAGAAAGAGAGGTGTACGACCCTACTTTGCTGCTGCTGCTGCTGCACTTGGCTGAATTTTGGAGAATTCTGCTTCTTATTGGATTTATTTTTGTTATTTATTTAAAATTTGTTTATTTTTTATTTATTTTTAATTTATTATTTGGATTTAATTCGAAAAAAAGAGAGAAGCAGACACGCCAGAGACGAGATGCCGAGCCGCAGCTGCTGCTGCCAGCCAAGCAGCAGCAACAGCAGCAGCAGCAGCGGCTAAAGCAGGAAATGAATTTGGGGATTAATTACTTTGTTTGATTTAATTCTTTAAAATTCAATTAAAATAATTGAAGAATTTAAAACAAATGATGCCACCGTAGCAGCAGCAAGGCACAGGGTGGGGGGGCCCCTAGAGGTCGGAGGCCCCCCTTAGGGTTTAGGGTTTAGGGTTTAGGGTTTAGGGTTTGGCTGTGTTTCAGCGGTTAGTCCTTGCTTTGGTATATTCTTTGAAGGTGTTAATTCATTTAAGACTCAGTCAATTGTTTAGCTAGGGTTTAGAGTTTATTCTTTTGGATTTTTTTTGCTGCTGCTGCTGCTGCTGCTGCTGCTGCAGCTGCTGCTCCTGCTGGGCGTCGATTCACTACGGGTCGTGTTTGGGGGCCTCGACTTTCTTTGGTTTCACCTCCAGCATTTATTGACTCAAATTAATTCATTTAATTTCATTTAATTTCTTTTTCGAAGTATTTAAGGCAGGGGCTCTCCAGCGGCCCGCGAGACCCTCAGCCAGCTGCAGCAGCAGCAGCAGCAGCAGCAGCAGCAGCAGTAGTAGTAGCAGCAGCGGCTGCGACAGCGGATCCCTTAGCGGCAGCAGCAGCAACAATAACAGCAGCAGCGACGGCAGCAGTAACAGCAGCAGCAACAGCGGCAGCAGCAGCAACAGCAGCAGCAACAGCGGCAGCAGCAACTGGAACAGGAGCAACGCCCTTCTCATCAGCAGCAGCAGCAACAATAACAGCAGCAACAGCAGTTGTAGCAACAGCAACAACTGCAGCAGCAGCAGCAACAACAAAGCAACAGCAACAACAACAACAGCAGCAGCAACAACAACAACCACAACAGCAACAGCAGCAGCAACAACAACAGCAGCAGCAGCAGCAGCAGCAATAAGCAGGGCAGCTGCTGCTTGCCGGCTGCTGCACCTCCGTGACCCGAACCCCCCCCCCCGAATAAAAGCAAATTATATTATTTATTTACTTATTTATTATTTATTTATTATTTATTATTTATTATTTATTATTTATTATTTATTTATTCATTTATTTATTTATTTGTTTATTTATTTATTTATTTATTTAAAAATGGGACAAGAGCAATCCGCCGTGCTGCAGTCCCCCGGCTTAACAGCAGCAGAAGCGCGTTTGCGCCCAACCGCCAAAAAGGAGACAAGAAGAGCAGCAAGAACTTTGGTAATTGCTTCTGCTGCTGCTGCTGCTGCTGCTATTGCTGCTGCTGCTGTTGTTGCTGCTTCTGATGCTGCTGATGATGCTCTTGCTGCTGCTGCTGATGCTGTTGCTGTTGCTGTTGCTGCTGATGCTGCTGCTGCTGCTGCTGCTGATGCTGTTGCTGCTGCTGCTGCTACCGCTGCTGCTCTTTTTGTACATTTTTTGACTGCTTGTTTCCCTTTTTGTCTTCTCTTTATTTCCTTTTGTTTCTGTTTTCTTTTTTGTTTCTTTTTTGTCTTTTGTTTTTTTTCGTTTTTTTTCTCTTTTATTTTTTTATTTCTGATTTACTTCTTCGGTAAATGTGCAATTCTTTATTTGGCTCTGCCGCACACTGGCTAGCTGGCTGCCTAGCCAGTTGATTAGCTAGCTAGCTAGCCAAAAGCAGTTTTTATTTATTTTGTTTGCTGATGTGCATTTGTGTGTCTTTGCGCTGCAGAAGCGGTCAGCTCCAGACCGAGTAAGCTTCAAATAGCTAGCTGGCTAGCTAGCTAGCTAGCTAGCTAGCTGGCTATCTGGCTCCCTAGTTTCAAATAGCTAGCTACATAGTCAGCTAGCTAGCCAGCTAGCTAGCTAGCTCCAGGGCTGAGCCGTTAGCTGTCCAGCTCATTAGCTAGCTAGGCCCCTTGTGTCCGTCTCAGCTTCGGTAGAGTGAAGCCTGTGGAGCTTGTTGGCTAGCTAGCTAGCTAGCTAGCTAGCTAACCAACGTCTAGCCAGCTATATAGCTAGCTAGCTAACCAGCTAACTAGCCATCTGCCTGGCCAGGAAACTAGCCAGCTAGCCACCTCGCCATCTAGCCAGCTAGCTAGCCAGCTGCCTAGCCAGCTAGCTAGCCAGCTCGCTAGCCAGCTCGCCAGCTAGCCATCCAGCCAGCTAGCTAGCTAGCTAGCTAGCTAGCTAGCCATGTTTTGGGCGTGCGTTGCAGTTTATGGGCCTGGCGGACGTGAAGGACCACATAAAGCCAATAAGAGAAAAAGAAGAAAAGAAAAAAGAAGAAGAAACTTTCGAAGGACTTTTTGATCTTGCGAAGCAGCTCAAGGAGGAAAAAAAGGTATTTCTTTATTTTCTAGTTTTTACTTTTTTTTAGTGCTCAGTTAGCTCATCAAATGGATTTATTTAATGTATTCTAAGAATGTAATCGGCGAGACAATGCATGCGTTTGCATGCATGCATTTGCATGCATGCATTCTAATTGCATGCATTTTGCATGCATGCATTTGCTTGCATGCGTTTGCATGCATGTATTTGCATGCATGCATTTCGTGCATGTATTTGCGTGCATTTGCATTACTTTATTTGCCTATGTTTGCATACATGTGCATGCAGTAGTGTGCATGCATTTGCATGCAACTAGATGCATGCATGCATGTGCATGCAAGTGCATGCACTTGCATGCATGCATGCAAGTGCATGCATGCATGCATGCATGCATGCAAGTGCATGCGTGTTGCGTGTTTGGGGCTGTTTGGACCAGAAGAAAGAGGAGTTGGAGGTTTCTGTTTTGGACCTTCCGGAGACTTTGGAAGAACCTTTAAGTTCCGAAGAAGAAGAAGAAGAAGACAGAGGAGTTTTCCACAAAGATGTTTCTCTTTTGAAACAGACTAATGACATTTTCCATCCAACTTGCCACCCCGTCGCCATCGAAGGTCCGAGGCCCACTGGCCACTCCGCTGCATGCATGCATGCATGCATGCAAGTGCATGCATGCATGCATGCATGCACGCAAGTGCATGCATGCATGCAAGCGCGTGCATGCATGCACTTGCATTCTTCATTTGCATGCATGCATGCGTGCATGCGGGTGCATGCATTTGCATGCATGGCTTTGCATGCATGCATTTGTGCGCATGCTTAATTTGCATGCATGTGTTTGCATGCATTTGCACGCATGTCTTTGCATGCACTTGCGTACATTTGCATGCATTATTGATGTACTCCATTATTATTTATTTAGTCATTCACCCATTTATTCTACTTATTTATTTATTTATTATTTATTTATTTATTTATTTATTTATGTGTTTATTTATTTTTTGTTTTCAGGGGAAGTGGCAGTTGGCTCTATTCTTACCTTCAGAGATGACTCTCCCTACAGCAGGGAGTTTTGTGTTTACAAAATAGAATGGTTTGTTTATTAATTAATTAATCAATTACATTCAAATAAATAAATTAATAGTTAATTAATTAGTTAATTAACTTATTTATTTATTTATTTAGTTGCGGCCTGCTGCTTGCTCAGAGAGCTTCTTTTATGTGGCTCTGTCGTTGTAGCGCAAGCTCGAAATATGCCATTTAGGGTTTAGGGTTTAGGGTTTAGGGTTTTGTTTGCAGGGTGGAGAGTTTGTCTGTGGGGGAAAGCGAAGTTTTCAGCATTTTACCCCTGGCCTTTGGAGCTCCAGATGTTTCTTTAGAAGTTCCTCCAGAGAGTCTTGGGAAGTACATTTGCGTCAAGGCTTACCGCAGAGTCGAAGACCAGGTCCCAAACCCTAAACCCTAAACCCTAAACCCTAAACCCTAGACCCTAGGGCCTCGGGCCCGCACACTGAAGCTCAAACCCTAGCTGGAGAGGCGCAGTTGTTTACTCTCCAACGCAAACCGTAGCCCGTGACCCCGAACGCTCTAAACCCTAAACCCTAAACCCTAAACCCTAAACCCTAAACCCTGGGTCCCACGCCCCAAGAACTTGGCGTTCTGCCTTCGGCAACGGCGCAGGCAATGAGCAGCTTTGATAAGCGGTTCAGTCCCTAAACCCTAAACCCTAAACCCTAAACCCTAAACTCTCGGGTCCACACCGTGAAGCCCTACCCTCAGGCCGCAAACTATAGCCATAACCCCAAACGACCTAAACCCTAAACCCTAAACCCTAAACTCTACGCAGTAATGCCGGAGCCCGTACCTTAGCCACTAAATAAACCCTAAATCCTAAATCCTAAACCGTAAACCCTAAACCCTAAACCCTCGAGTGTGTATTTTATCTCGCAGCTCCGAGACACTGAGTTGGCCATTCCAGAGGACGGAGTGTACGACCAGCACATTGGCAACTACAGGCGGAGAACAGGCGTTGCTGCTGCTGCTGCTGCTGCTGCAGCAGCAGCAGCAGCAGCAGCAGGCGCAGCAGCAGCAGGCAAACCAGCAGCAGCAGCAAGTGCTGCAGCAGAAGTCGTCTCCTCCTGCATCGGGGGCCCCGTGCTGCTGGCAGCAGATGTGGGGCTTACTATTCTTAAGGCCCTTGCGCGGGGAGGGTTTAGCTGCGCAGTCAAACTCAGAGATGTCCTCGACGACGTAAGCTGCTGCTGCTGCTGCAGCTGCTTCTGCTGCTGCTGCTGCTGCTGCTGCTGAAGCAGCAGCAGCCTGGGGTCTGTACGCAGCTGCAGCAGAGCAAATAGTTATGTTGAATTTGGAGGAGCTTGAAAGGTCCAGTTGCGCATTTCGGATCTCTTTTTGCTGCTGCTGCTGCTGCTGCTGTTGCTGCTGTTGCTGCTGCTGCAGACTGGCAGGGCAGTGCCTCTAGAAAGAGACCCAGTGAGAGCCGCAAAAGCCAAAGTCAAAATTCCGGCAACTTTCACAATAGATGACAGTGAGACCTTAAACCCTAAACCCTAAACCCTAAACCCTAAACCCTAAACCCTAAAGGTTCTTCAGGGGCTTTATTTCCTTGCTAGGAGCCGAACACGTAGCCCCTAAAGCCTAAACCCTAAACTTCAAACCCTGAGCCCTGAATTCTAGCCTCCAAACCCTAAACCCTAAACCCTAAACCCTAAACCCTAAGACTGTGGGACTTTTTTGCAGGCGTGCTGGAGCTGCGTTATCCGAAAGACTTGATAAGTATTGATGAAAATGGAAGAATTAAAATAAATAAAATTAAAGATCCTGCTGCTTCCGAGAAAGCCACTATTGAACAGTCTCTCGATCGCGTCGCGGTAAAGCCCCACAGGGTTTAGGGTTTAGGGTTTAGGGTTTAGGGTTTGGGGTTCAGGGTTTGCGGTTTTGCATCGTTCTTGTGTTTGAAGCAGCTATTTTGCGTTTAGGGTTTAGGGTTTAGGGTTTGGAGTGCACTTCGTATCCAATATCTGCATGCATGCATGCATGCAGATATTGGCTGCATGCAAACACCAGTGCATGCATGCATGCACCACTGCGTGCATGCATGCACCAATGCATGCATGCATGCATGCATGTATGCATGCGTTTGGGGCTTTTTTAGGTGAGGGCGTCTAAGGGTCCCGAGACACTTGTTTTGGCTTTGCCGCTGAAGACGTAAGTTTAATTATTTATTTAAAATTAATTTTTGAATTAAATTAATTAATTTGGCATTATAAAAGATAATTTGGCGGGTAAATAATAAAAAATAGATAATTATACGTATATTTAAAAATAAAAAAAATATAGTTTTTATAATTTGTTTTTCCAATAAACAAGCAAATCCATTCAAACTTTGAGAAGAATTTTATTTCTAAAATTGGATTTTATTGTTTTTAAACGTTTTAATCGGAATAAATTTTAAATAAGTTTTATTTTTTTTTAATATTTAATTCGAAATAAATTTAAAATAAAAGATTAATTAATCAACAGAATTGTAGTTTATCTTTTATTTTATCTTTTTTTGTTAGGCAACGCATTGCGCTGGGGGACCATCAGCAGCACCAGCAGCAGCTGCTGCTGCTGCACCAGCAGCAGCAGCAGCAGCAGCAGCAGCAGCAGCTAATTCGCTTCGACGTGGACCCCGCAGTTGGCCGCGATGTTGTGCTGCACCACTGTTTTGCTTTTCAAGCAGTTAGGCGGGTAAGACTTTTAATTTAATATTTCTTTCTTTTTGTTTATTCCTCTTAGCTCTTTCAAATGCAACTGCTGCTGCTGCTGCTGCTATTGCTGCTGCTGCTGCTGCTGCTTAGAAGTAGAAAGAACTAACCCCGTAGGCGCCAGCAGTAGGCCTCCAGAGGCGCTGCAGCGGCAGCAGCAGCAGCTGCTGCTGCTGCTGCTAATGCTGCCAAAGTACCAATTCTGCTGCCGCGGCTGTGTTTAATGCTTCTGCTGCTGCTGCTGCTGCTTAAGCTTTAAGGACCCAATTCGCGCTGCAGCTGCTGCCTTTTGCGCTGTTGCTTCTATTCCCGCTGCTGTTTCTCCCGTTCGTCATGCTGCTGCTGTTGCTGCTGCTGCTGCTGCTGCTGTTGCAGGCTCGGCTCTCTCGCTCCACTTTGGACTCATGGTATAACACGGGCAACTTGCAGGCACTGCGGGAGGCGGTTCAGAACTTCCTAGAAGGTAAACAGAAAAGACTAGTTAGCTGGCTAGCTAGCTGGCTAGCTAGCTGGCTAGCTAGCTGGCTAGCTAGCTAGGTAGCTAGCTGGTTAGCTAGCTGGTTAGGTAGCCAGCCGGCTGGCCGACTGGGTAGCTCGCTACATAGATAGGGCGCTTCATGAGCTTGCCGTCTTGTGCCTAGTTAGCTAGCTAGCTAGCTAGCTAGCTAGCTGGCTAGCTGGCTAGTACCCGTCTGTCTAGCTTTCGAGCTAGCTGTCTGTCCATTTGTTTATCTGTCCGTCTAACCAGCGAGATAGCTAGCGAGCGAGCTAGCTAGCTAGCTAGCCATCTGCCCATCTACCTCTTATCCTATCCATCCATCTGCCTATCCGACTATCAGGCTAGCTAGCCAGCCAGCTAGCTAGCTAGCTAGCTAGCTCTCTGTCTATCCCTTTATAGCTAGCTAGCTAGCTAGTTCTCTGTCGATGTATCCCTTTATAGCTAGCTAGCTAGCTAGCTGGCTAGCTAGCTAGCTAGCTAGCCAGTGGCGGGGGGGTGGGTGTTGAGAGTGTGTTTGTTGCTGTGGCTAGCTGCTGCAGTGGAGTCGCTGGCGGTGGTGGAGGCGCCGGCTTTGGAGAAAATGGGAACAACTCCTTGGTCGATTTTGAACGCGAGATTTTGAGGGGTTTTTGAGGTGTACGTACACCTGAGCTGTGCATAGACACCTCAGGTGTACGTACAGCCGCCCGGGTGTACGCGCACCTCGCTGCTCTTTCGCCGGGACCTGCTTCCTTTGCACTTTTATTATTATTTTCATTTGCATTATTGCTGGCTTTGTTTCCACTTTTTGCCGCGGATTCCGCTAATAACGCCACCCCGGCGGCGCGTGCATGCGCGCATGCACAGCTGGGGTGTATAGGCAGCTCGCTGGGGTGTACAGGCAGCTCGCTGGGGTGTATACGCAGCTCGCTGGGGTGTATAGGCAGCTCTCTGGCTGCAGGGAGTGCTTTTATTTGCATTTAAACAAAATAAAACCCAACTGCTTTTAAAAGCTCTCTTATTTGACAGTATATTTCGTTTTGAGGGAAAGCTAACACTTGGAAGTGCAATTAATTCGTGTGCTAGCTAAAATGGGGCGCTGACTTTAAGCGCAGCAGCAACGGCGCAGTCTTGCTGCTGCTGTTGCTGCTGCTGTTGCTGCTGCTGCTGCCGTTGCTGCTGCTGCTGCTGCTGCTGCCTGGACACAGCAGCAGTTGCCGCGGCAGCAATGAGGCTCTCTTACCTCTCTGGTTTGGGACAGGAAAATAAAATGAATGAAAAGCAAAAACAATAGGACAATTAAATGCTGAGTTAAAACTAAATAATAATTAAAATGCCAAATGAGAAACGAGCGAAATAACGAACACCTCAGACGCACCAAGTCTGAGGTGTACATACACCTGAAGGCCGCAGTTGCTGCTGCAGCAGGCGGGACCTTTTTATGTTTTAAATCAAATTTGTCAAAGAAGATTTATTAAATGAATTTGAAGCATTCATAATAATAAGTGCATAAGAGGCTTAAATTGGAAATATGGTTTTAGAAAGAATGCATGCAAATGTGCATTTCTTTTATTTGCATTTTAGTTCTTAATTTTAAAAATGAAAATAGTGAAAAAGACTTCACGCAGAAACGCATGCAAATGTGCATTTCTTCGAATTAGAATTCATTTATTTTTCCTTTTCTTCAAATGCGAAATTCAACTGTGCGCATGCAGTGTGGGAAAACGCCCCAAAAGAGAAAAATTAAATAAAACAAGAAGGCAAAAAATAAGAAAACAGAGACAAAAACTAAATAAAATGCAACTGCGAAAAGTTGCATTTGAAGAGCTCTAGTGTCTCTTAAACTTCTGAATAAAAAATATCTTATTTATTAATTTATTTTTATTTTTTTGTTTTGGCAAATTTGCAAAAATGCTGCACTGGCTGGTGGCTCGCTGCTGCGGCGAAGAGCGCATGCAGAACAGGTGAGAGGAGTCAAATGGATTAAATTTGGGATCAAAATAAAATAAATAAATAAATAAATAATTAAATTAAATAATATGTCCCGCGTTTTGTGCGCAAATAAACCACATAAAGAAGTTTCCGGGCCCCTTTGCTGCTGCGAGATAAAACAGTCTGAGGTGTACAGACACCGGAGCTGCCTATACACCCGAAGGCCCCTGGGCGCCCCGGCCCCAAAAGAAAGGAAAAGCCTTTAACTGCCTTTTAATTACTTTTATTTTCTCTCTTTTTGCCTTTTAATCGCCTTTTTATTCAATTTTCTTTCTTTTTTCGAACCCCAGAAAAGACCATTATAAAGCAGCAGCAACTCCTGGCCAAATCAACTTCTCTAACGCAACACGTCAACCCAGAACTCAAGGCCGACAAAACCCACCAAGGGGGGCCCCCAAAGGGCCGCCAAGGGGCCCCTAAGGGGCCCCCCAGGGCCCCCTAGGGGCCCCCACAACCCCCAGCCCCTTGGTAGGACCTTGGGGACCCCAAGGGGCCCCCAAGGTCCTACCAAGGGGCCCCCACGGGGCCTCCAAAGGGCCCTTAAATGATGCCTCAAGGGGCCCCCAAGAATCATTCAGGGGGCCTCCAAGAAGCCTCTTAAGGGGCCCCCAAGGGGCCTCTTAGGGGCCCCCAAGAATCCCCTGGCAGGAGCCTAATGCGGCTCCCAAGGAGCCCCCAAGGGGCTCCCAAGGGGCCCCCAAGGGGTCTTTATGAGGCCCTTTGGGGGCCCCTTAATTACTATAGAGAGAAGCCACGATGAATTAAAAAGACAAAGACAAGAAAAGCAAAAGCAAAGGGCGGTAGGAGATACAAACGCAGCAGCAGCAGCTGCTGCAGCAGAGGCTGCAGCAGCAGCGCTAACTGCAGCAGCAGCTGCAGCAGCAGAGGCTGCAGCAGCAGCGCTAACTACAGCAGCAGCTGCAGCAGCAGCTGCAGCGGAAGCGCTAACTGCAGCAGCAGCGCTATCTGCAGCAGCAGCTGCAGCAACTGCAGCGCTAACTGCAGCACCAACTGCAGCAGCAGCAGCAGCAGCAGCTAAACGTCATCATCAAAATCAGAAGAGTGGCGCTCGTCCAGCCTCAGCAAATCGAAGCGGCCAAACTCCGTGTCTCTCTGCGCAGCAAAAGCCCCACGCATGCAAAAGAAAGCCCCAAATTGCATGCATGCATGCATGCGCGCATGCGTGCATGCATCCTATTATCCATGCATGCATGCATGCATGCATGCATGCATGCCTGGAAACTAAATGCATGCATGCAAACATGAAGCCCCTAAACTCGATAAATGCTCGCAACCCAAAAGTCCCGTGAATGCCGCCATGCATGCAAACAGAAACACCGAAACGTGAGCTGCTGGCATTTTAAAAGCCCCAACTGAGTGCATGCAAGCATGCATGCATGCGTGCATGCAAGCATGCATGCATGCATGCATGCGCTGTGACTATTTTGGGGCCTTGTTGCTGACCTGAGGGCGTTTTCGGGGGCCTCTCCTTCTTCTTAAAATGAGTCGAGAAATAAACCAAAGAGATCCAACACCCAAAAAAGAAAAAATAAATAACCACCAAAGAGCAGCAGACTCGTTCCTGCAGCAGCAGCAGCAGCAGCAGCAGCAGCGGATGCGGCAGAATTATGCGTCGACGCAGCAGCAGCAGCAGCAGCAGCACAAGCGGCAGCGTTGTGCGTGGACGCAGCAGCAGCAGCAACAAAGATGCAGCCGCAGCACGTGCTGCAGCAGCAGCAGCAGCACCACCTTGCGCCAACGCAGCAGCAGCAGCAACAGCAGCAGCAGCAGCAGATTGCTGCAGCGCAAGAGCAAGAACGCGGAATGCAACAGGTAAACAGAAGACGCAAAATGGATAAATGACAAAAAGATAATCAGCAGCAGCAAATTAAATAAATAAAAGAAACTGAAATGTTGAAATTAAAAATAAAAATTACTTTTGCTGCATGCACATTTCCTCTTCTTCATTCCAAGTTTCTCCTTCAGGACATTCAACAGCAACATCGTGCTCCAGTGCATGCAGCGGCAGCTCCTGCTGCTGCTGCTGCTGCTGCTGCTGCGGGTATTCGGAGAAGTGGTTGTGGGGCTGCAGCTGCTGCTGCTGCTGCTCCTCCTCCTCTTCCTCCTGCTGCTGCACACTTGGATGTGGCAGAGGCCGCACAGAACCTGGCTCCGGTTGCGCCCTGTAGCAGCAGCAGCAGCAGCAGCAGGAGCAGCAGCAGCAGTAGCAGCAGCAACGGAAGCAGCAGCAGCAACAATGCACCTCAGCTTGGGTCGATGCCTCTGCGCCGCAGAGAAAGTAGCAGCGCTCGAGACAGACGCAGCAGCAAGTGCAACAGCAGCAGCAGCAAATGCAGCAGCAGCAGGATTTGGTGTGAAGAGAATACTAACCTATAAGGATCAATTACAGCATCCCTTTCTGGTTTAACGAATCCCACGGTGTCGATTTGCTGCAGCTGCTGTTGCTGCTGCAGGTGCTGCTGCTGCTGCTGCTGCAGCAGCAGCTGCTGCTGCGTGAGTGGCAGCGGTGGGGGCAGGGGCCCCCCTTTCCAGGGTGTGGGTCTCTGACCCTGAGCAGCATCCCCTTCAAACAGCAGCAGCAGCTGCTGCTGCTGCAGCTGCTGCTGCTGCTGCTGCTGCTGCTGCTGCTGCTGGCGGCCGAGCCACTCGAAAGAGAAGGGGGCCCCGTTTGCTGCCTTCATGTCGATCTGCAGCGTTGCTGCTTCTCCTAGGGCCCCCAAAGCAGCAGCAGGAAAATAAAATGACCAAACTAATCCTCCTGCTGCTGCTGCTTCTTCGTTGCTGTCCAGCTTCACTTGGGCCGCCGGGTGTACGTACACCCCAGAAGCCCCCAGCAGCCGCAAAGCCCCTTTTGCTGCTAAAGAGCCTTCCTCCATTGCAGGCGGCTCAGACAGCCGCAGCAGCAGCTGCAGCAGCAGCAGCAGCAGCAGCGCAGCAGCAGCAGCAGCAGCAGGACAGTGAAACGGGTTCAGGTTGCTTTAAACTGCTTCAAATGAATTTTAATTGATTTGAGTTGATTTAAATCCATTTAAATTAAGTCAAATCAATTTAAATTAATTAATTCAATTCATTTAATTGCTTTAATTAATTTAATTTAATTAATTTAAGTAATTTAATTACCAATAAATCTTGCCCTTTCTTGATCGGCACACTGGGGTCCGGGTGTATAGCCACCACAGAAGGCTGCATGCAAAAACTCGAAAAGTGGAATTTAAAATTTTAAATAATTTAAAAAAGATTTAAATGATAATTTAGTATAATATAAATATAAATATAAATATAAATATAAATATAAAATATAAACATAAATATAAATATATATATAAATGTAAAATATAAATATAAATATAATGACTTTAAACAAATAAACTCTAAATTTTACAACTGTGACTATTTCACATTGCTTTCTTCTCCATTTTGCGAAAAACATTTCATAAAATGAATTTAATTAAATAAACAAAAAATAGCTGGACGCAGAAAATTCAATAAATAAATAAATAGATCAATTCATAAGTTAGATGATTAACTAATTAATTTAATCATTTAATTATACGATTAATTAGTTAATCTAATTAATTAATTAATTAATTAATCAATTAATTAATTAATTAAATTGGAATTTATTTTGGGCGCAGAGGAAGCGCGGGCGCGGGAGCGGGTAATCTGGGGTGTCTGTACACCTGAAAGCTCTTGCTTTCCAAAGAATGGACATGAAAAAAGAATTGAAAAGGAAAACACTTTTCTTCTTTGTGCAAAAACTCCGCAGCAAAGTGGTCGTCCGCAATCCGCAGCACGAAACGTCCTCTGCAGCAGCAGCAGCAGCAGCAGCACAATGCCCAACAAAAGTCCATTCTTCGTCATTTTCCCGTTGTTTTAGATTTATGCTTCTGTCTAATTAATTAATCAACTAATTGATTAATCAATCAATTAATTGATTAATCAACTGATTGATTAATTAATCAATTAATTGATTAACCAATTGATTGATTAATTAATCAATTAATTGATTAAGTAGTTAATTAGTTGATTGATTAGTTAATTAGTTAATCAATTAGTTGAATGATTAATAAATTACTTATTTAGTCAGTCAGATTAATTAATTAATTAGATAAATAATTAATTAGTCTAACTAATTAATTAGTTAATTAATCTAACCGATCAACTAACTAATTAATTAATTAATTAATCAAACTTATTAATTAATTA